TAAAATCATAATGTGTGTGCACAGACACACACGGAGCACACACAAAAACAAGCTAAACACACATAGAAGTCCAGCTCTGTGACCTGTGAGAGTCTGCTGAAGACCTCCGTAAGAGAAGTGTGGAGGTCTGATTCGTGATGATTAGGTGTTGATTTCTGCACATCTTCAGGAGAACTGGAGCTGTTGCACGCCTGGGATCTGCATCAGATTGAATGTAAATAAAAGCATCATTCAAAATGCTTAAAAGTGTAGATTGAATTGTGCCATCTTTAAATGACTCTTGGTGTGCTTCTGACCTGCTGATAGGAGGTGGTGTACACCATCACATTTTGTTGCTGTCCATCAGCTGTTATGATTCCTGCAGGTAGTGGATTTGCTGAGAAAGAAAAAGATTTCATTGTGTTGGACTGGTCAACATGACATATATATATATATATATATATCCATATATCCAAGTATGCATAATAATTATTGATATTGGTAATAATTACTGTATAATAATATTAACTATTATAATGAATATGTCTATTTTCAAAATCAATGTCATTAAAATTACATTTAATTGATCATTTAATTATTAATACAAAACGTGCAGGAAAAAATACTCTATAAACAAAGCCTAATTATTTGAATTATTTAATTTAAATACAAATTAAATAAATATTGTAAATATTGCTATTTTCTGTTAATAAATTTTAAGTCAAACTGCTTATTTATTTATATAGGTTATTTTTTACAATATGTTTGATAAATTTGCCGTTAATTTATTGCTGTTAATAAAAATGTAAAAAGATAATAAAAATACTAATATTTCAGACATTCATTTGAATTCAAGACAAATAACACACAGTGTACAAAAAAATCATAAATTATTAAATGCTGCTTTGGCAACTACCTGAAATAAAACAGGTTTGTTGAAGTAGAATATGTTGAGGTAAAAAAAAATTACTAAATGTAAAATTAATAATAAATAAGTGAATTAATTAAAATTTAAAGTTACATAGAAATATTAAAAGAAAAAAAAAACTTACAAAATGACAAAATATTACTGAAACTGAAAATATTATATATGTGACCCTGGACCACAAAACCAGACTTAAGTCACTGGGGTATATTTGTAGCAATAGCCAAAAATACATTGTATGGGTCAAAATGATTGATTTTTCTTTTATGCCAAAAATCATGAGGATATTAAGTAAAGATCATGTTCCATGAAGATATTTTGTAAATTTCCTACTGTAAATATATCAAAACTTAATTTTTGATTAGTAATATGCATTGCTAAGAACTTCATTTGGACAACTTTAAAGGTGATTTTCTCAATATTTAGATTTTTTTTGCACACACAGATTCCAGATTTTCAAATAGTTGTATCTCGGCCAAATATTGTCCTATCATAACAAACCATACATCAATGGAATATATATATAATTAAATACTACAACAGTATATAAACAATAATTAACAAATTATTAATACAGTAGTATGTATTAGTATGTACACAAAATAAATTAAATTCAAGTTTGGTTGTAAGCACCATTTCCGTACCCATCTGTACTAATCAGTTACTTACTGAAAGTCTCGTCGGTCAGCTCCTCTCCCATGCCTTCAGTTACAGTTACAGTGCTTATGCCTTTCTCTCCTTTCATGGCCTGAGAACATTCACACAAATGTCACGTCAATCAAAAGAGCTCAACCAATCAAGAGGAGGAATCCACACCTCTGACAGCCTCTGCATAAGCCTTTTGACTTCACTGATGTATGATGATGCCATTAAAACGTTAATGTCAGTGTTACCTCTCTGAATTTCTGCAGGTAGAGCTTCAGAGGCTCCACATACATGTCGAAACCCAGCGTGGACATTGCGAACAGGATGTCTTCGCCGTTTATGGTCTTGCGTTTCTCCTGATGGCATCTCTCGCTGGCTTCTGAAGTGATGAAGCTGATGAACTCGCTCACACACTCCTGCACACACTCCTTGGCGTCCTTTGCTATCTGAGGTGATGGAGAGAAAGTCTTTTGAATAACATTTATGCTACATTTGTAAAGTTTCACTTTCTTTTAGCAAAATAAAGGGTATTAAATAAGAAGCTCTGAACAAATAAACAGAGAGGTGATCAAAGAGCATCTTTTTATACATAAACCAAATAATAACAAATAAAAAAAGGGTTTTATTTTTCCTTCTCCAAACCGAACTGCCTTGCCTTAAAAAGGACTTACTTTTCCAGTTTGTGGGATTGCATTTTTCATGATTCGAGCAACATTGGCAATGGGGAGATAGATGTCTTGTTCACGTAGGTTATCTTTGCTTCCATCGCCATCCTCGTGGTCATTGAGACCCTCATCACCTTCATCTTTACAAAAAAATAAATAAATTAATAATAAGAAATGTTTCTTAAGCATTAAATCAGCATATCAGAATGATTTCTGAAGGGTCATGTGACACTGAAGACTGGAGAAATGATGCTGAAAATTCTTGAAAATCACAGGAAGAAATCATATTTTATAATACGTATATTCAAATAAAAAAACAGTATTTTTTAATAGTACTAATATTTCACAACATTACTGGTTTTACTGTATATTCGATCAAATAACTGCAGCCATGCTGAGCATAAGAGCTCATTAAAAACACACACACACACACACACACACACACACAAAAAGAATTAAAAATCTTAATGATTTCGAACTTCTGACCAAGAGAGTAATTTAATAATGAATAAATAAGTAATTTCGAATAATTAAAATTTGTTATTTAATAAATATAAGATTCTATATATTTTTATTATATGAAATTATACAAAAAAATTTAACATTTATATCAAATTATTTATTTATAATTTAAATACTTAATTATTTAATTACATAAAATATTACATAATAATTACATCATATTTTTTTAATAATATATTAATCAATTAATTAAATGACAATTAAATAATTTGTCTTTAGCTTCACTTACCATCTTGAGCTTGAGCTAGAACAAAGTGACTACCAGCCATATATTCTCCTGTTATGCCAAGTTGGGAGGCATCTGTGGTTGAACTGTCTCCGTCCATCTGAAACATAAATTCAATTGTATTACAGCTGTTAATTATTGATTGTGTTTCAAAGCCAAGTGAGCTGCCTACCTAGACAGCATTTTTGGCCATCTCACAGTGCACTACTATACTTGTATAAACGTATGTGGGCTGGGCACGCAAAATGGAGACATTTCATCACCACAGACGTACAATTATTAAGCCACTAATATATATAAAATTTTACCTTTATTTTATTCGGTAATAAACGTTTATAATTGTCATCTGCCAGTGAATCACATAAACATAAATTTTTCATTTTAAAAAGATTAAAACACAAACTCCCCTCAAAGACCTTCACACGTTTGATTGTATTTAAAAAATAAAAAAGGCAGTCAGTGTAGGCTAAATATGAAATTTGATAAATAATAAGCGCCAAATTAAAAATAACAGGATATATTATGTCGATATTTTGACAGCAGGTGTATTTTATTGGTTAAAGAGCTCGCCGGTGCTAGCAAGCAATGTTTACACGCGCTAAATAAACACAAACCACACTTTCCCACGGAATCATTCATATAAATTGGTCAAATGAGTTATTATAACTGATGGATGCATTAAACAGCAGAAGAGGGCTGAGAACAAGGCAGACGAGCGAAAGCGACCTCGGATTCGCTCAAATTGGTCGTAGTAAACAAAGGGGCCGCGCACAGTCACGAGCTGTTAACAATTACTCCTACAACATCGAGCTGCTTTTCATAAAGCGCGCTTAATTTCTCTTTCTCCCCGCCAACTAATAATAAAACACTCGCGCGCGGAGATTTCCATTCGATGTAACGAAATATGGGTTAGCAATCATTGGCCGGAGCCGCACACTAACCTGCGATGAAGCCCTGGTTGGTTCTCGCCTCAGCTCGGCCGTTTGGTTGGACAGAAAATGGCTGCGGGAGAGCCAGTCCCTGCGCAGAGCTGAACGGTGCTGGAGGAGGAGTCTCGCTCGGACACTAGGTGGCGCTACAGCCCTTCTGTTTTAAAATAAAAGCGCAATGTTGTTGAAATAGCGCCTTCTACTGGGAGTGGTTGGTACATCGCGCTGAAATCAGGGGCAGCAACTGTGCTTATAAACAAATTAAAATTTAAGCCAATAAAGTTTTTGTTCCTGTTTTATTTTATTTATTACAGTCAATCAGTTGGACAAAATATTAGACCACTGAATGAAATAAAAGAGTTTGAGTTTTCCCAGGAAAAATAAATAAATAATAATAAATGTTGTCCTTTTATAATAGCATGCATATCTCAATGATAAAAGTAAAGGTCTCAAAAAGAAAAAAATATTTGTAATATGGAATTTATTGAACTGTGGATACTAAATATTGTTAAATAGCTGTAAATATAATTTAAGTGGTAATCCAAGGATTTTTCAAGTGATTCAGATTATTTCTATGCAAATCATTCCTACAAATCTTTACAAACTTCAGTCAATTATTCTCTTACATTAGCACTGATACATTTTTGAAGTATACATGAATGAATTCGATTTTTTTTTTTTACAGCAAAAGATAATAAAACAAACTATTGCAGGTGATTTAATTAAATAAAATTTAAAAAATAAGCTATCAATACTGAGACATTATTGTGTTTATTCTCCTTAATACATCCTAAAGATTAATAATTAATCAACAAAAAAATAAAACCCACATGCATTGTTAAATTGTATAAGGCTGCCCAATGCAAATATTTGGACATTAAAACCATATGATTAACAGTCTGTCACATTTCTGAACCATAAAAACATATAATTAACATATTTTTATTAGAACCAAATGAGAAATTCTGTACTACACAGTACAAAAGAAAGGATACTGATCCAGGAAGACGAGTGCAAATCAGACACACATTTAACATAACATATGGAAACAGACAACAGCAGTTCTTTATTCAATGAAGACAGTTGTGTGACTTAGAGAAGTGCAATTGTCACATGAGGCAGCATATGCCACTCAATGAATTGCACACAGGGATTTGACTGGCATGTAAGAAAGCGTATGACAGGGTGCCAAGAGAAGAGCTGTGGTATTGTATGAGGAGGTCTGGAGTGGCAGAGAAGTATGTTAGAGTGGTGCAGGATATGTATGAGAGCAGTAGGACAGTCATTGGCTACCAGAAATCACTTACTCTGCCTTTAATCAGGGTTCGAGCTAAACTCTGCCAGAATTGAGAACCTTGATGGATAAACAAACATTGATGGTAATCTGTTACCTGTGGTGCAAAAGCTGCGGCAGGGGCAGTAACATCCTTTAGCGTCGTCTGGAAGCTCGCCCAGCGGACAGTGAAAATGAAGATACGTGGCTATACGACTAGCCTGGATGGAAACCAGATTACCACCAACACCTTAAAGGGATAGTCCACCCAAAAATTCTATCATCAAGACATTTTGAAGAATGCTGGTAACTAAATGGTTTCGGGACCCTTTGACTTCCATAGTATGGGGGAAAACATATTTTGGAAGTATTTTGAAGAATGTTGCTAACCAAACATTTTCAGGTTCCAAAACTGTTACCAACATTCTTCAAATATCTTCTTTTGTGTTCCAAAGTCAGTCATACAGGTTTGGAATGACATGAGGGGGGGAGTAAATGATGGGAATTTTCATTTTTGAGTAAACAATCCCTTTGAGGATAGGTTGATATTGGAAGGCGTGTATAAAATTTGAAACAAACAGTCATTTGATCAGAACATAATATATCAGTTCAGTCTGACCCACCATTTACAACAGGACTGTAGAGAACAACTCCTTCAAGCTTTGGATCAGTGATGGCACGGTCCAGAATCAGTCCTCCAAGACTGGAGATATGAAACAAAAAGCAACATAAGCTGGTTGTACCAATACCACAAAAAGGTCCATGCTAGACTTATATTGATGTACCAAGTGGGAAACATTTACCTGCTGATCACCATTGCAGTTATTACTGGCTCCCAGCTGGAAAACAGCAATTTTTGGCTTTCAGGGTGCCGAGTCTGACCCACCATTTATAACAGGACTGTAGAGAACAACTCCTTCAAGCTTTGGATCAGTGATGGCATGGTCCAGAATCAGTCCTCCAAGACTGGAGATATGAAACAAAAAGCAACATAAGCTGGTTGTACCAATACCACAAAAAGGTCCATGCTAGACTTATATTGATGTACCAAGTGGGAAACATTTACCTGCTGATCACCATTGCAGTTATTACTGGCTCCCAGCTGGAAAACAGCAATTTTTGGCTTTCAGGGTGCCGAAATGAAAGAATTACCCACATCGGCGTAAGGCACAGGAAAACAACACACACCAGGTAGGTAATATAAGGGTATGGCTCTACAAACAGAGAGAGTTAAAGGGTATTAAAGAGAATAAAAAGCCAAACCTCTTAGGTGGAACAACAAATTAGTCTTTGACCAGTTACTGGTCTTCCATTCTCACCCATGCAGTAAAAGAAGCCTTGACTGATGACAGCCAGCAGTCCAAGTGTGATGATGTCACCTAAACTGGCAGCGATGGGCGTGGCTATGTTGTCAGGGTTCACGCCCACCTTCTTGGATCCAACAATCACACCAACCATTACTATGCCTAGAAAGATTTGCATATATCAAATCCATTCAGAATGTATACATGCTGTATGAAATTACAAATGGATTTTTATGTACATTACCATTCAACCGGTTTTTGAAAGAAATGAATACTTCTTATAGCAAGGATGCATTAAACTGATCAAAAGTGACAGTAAAAACCCTTATAACACTACAAAAGATTTTTATTTCAAATAAATTATATTCTTTCAATACATTTTGAAAAAGTTCAATGCTTGACCTTGTTTGTCATCACTAAGGATCTGCTTCCATTAATCATACTGACAGTCTTATCCATTTATGCCAAATGCTGATAATGTGAGCTATGTGGCCTGAGGATGTTGGGTCTATATTCAGGACATGTATGGAAAATGGGTTTGCATGGCCAAGATCACAAGCCATGAGTCATTCAAGTGAGAATAACCTCATGATCAGCACCCACAAAGATGATGTCCTCCGTATTTGAGGCCCATGAAGTGTTTAAAGATTATAAATGGTCTATATTAAGTAGATGAAAATTGGTCAGAAACAAAAGCTGGATGCAAACCCTGCAGCAGAGATGCTGTGAATGCTGTCACAACGCTGCAACAGCAAAGCAGGGCTACATGGTTCACGATGAGCTCCTCCTCCAGGATCCAACCAAGAGCCGAAGCTACCAGAGCAGCCAGGAAGCCCAAAACTGTAGCTTGCCCCTGAAGAGACAAATAGAGTTCAACGAAGAACAGAATTTCACCAAGCAAGCATCAAATGAGCTGGATTAACCTGTTTGAGGGCGAGATTTCCAATGATCAGGTTCCATTTCTCGCTTGAAGAGTTAATTCTGCCAACATTCACCTGCAGTACAGACATTCAAGTATTGAATGACTGTTTATTCATTTACTATAAAGCATTACAAGCAAATATTCAATAAACCCTTTGATTTTGTTCAAACTGCAACATTCAAGTATAACCCTGAGGGCTGTTTTCTTCACAGCAGAGTGTGAAGTTCCTCACCATGACAAACAACGTGATGAAGGGGAAAGAACACAACACAGATACAATACAGCAGAAGAAGTAGATCATATGAGATGGGATGGTGTGCAGATCAGCGTTCCCACTTCCTACACATTTTAACCAATGATTTTCCACGGCTTTCCAGTCATTCAAGAAAATTGTACAAGGATTTTTCAAATAGAGCGAATTCTAACAGATTCAATTTTTTGAGCTACGCATAACTAGAAAAATGGGTGTTTACAATAAAACACTAGTTTTTAAATATTGTTTTAATTTATGAATAATTAATACAATGGTGACCATCACACTTGAAAATTATTATTATTTATTTTTATTTTTTTTTGCAGCGATGCCATAGAAGCATTATTTGGGGTTCCCAAAAGAACCTTTCAGTGAACAGTTCTTAAAAGAACCATTTTTATAGTGTGAAGAACATTTTAATAATCAGAAAACCCCCTTTTCCACTACAAAGAACTGCAAAGCAAATGTTCTATGGATGTTAAAGGTTCTTCATGGAACCATCAATGCTAATAAAGAACCTTAATTTCCCCATTGTGGATTTCAGATGCAAAGATATATTCAATGCATTTTAATTAATAATAAAATTACTAATATTATTAATAAAGCAAAACAAGAATGCAAAAGAGATTATTTGTACTGGTGTCCCCACTAAGCTTCCTAACTAGGTTGACCAGCAAGTCTTCATTGCTTAACATCATCAGAAAGACCATTCTAGTTGACGAACTTAAGGGATAATGATACTGATAAGCCAATAATTATTTTCACATTTATTGGCCCGTAACAGATAAATGGCTTATGTTAGAATACTGTACTAAATGAGAAATGAATTAAATGCTACAAGACAAATTAATTTAGGAATCACAACATTATAAAGTACAGTATGAAAATTGGATATTCATTTTGAGATTCGCAAAAGATTACATTTAACAGTATTATTCATTGATTTATTTTTGAAAGATTATCTTTCAGTGAGCATTACGACGACAAAGGTAACTGAAAAGGAAATAGGAAAATAGGAAAAATGAGCAAGCAGAACTGAATATCCAATCTCAGCTAATACCAACAACAACAAAAAAATTCTAATTATAACAATAAATAAAACTAAAATTTTTGCAGAAAAAAGTACCAATTGTGCATCTCCAATTCTTTTTCTGGGGAACAGCATGGCTTTTGCACTGGCATAAAGCCAACATAAACCAGTCTGAAAATAAATGCTGGTCCAGTGGGGTTTCACAGGTATCTAGATGACACAGTAATCTTACAGCGGTGGAAAGTCTTGATGCCAATGTCATCTCCAGGTTCCCCTTTAGCCCCAGTAGAGGTGGGACAAGGATGAAGATCTCAGTCACATTACGGAAAACGTCCCAGTGCTGATTCATCAACACAAAGAAGAACCATTTATAGTCAGCTTAATCAAAATCCACCCTATCACCATCATCATCATCTCCCTACTCACCTGCACTACATCCAGCAACATCCCTGCCAGAACCGTCCCAAAACCAGCTAGGAGGAATGGAAACAAAATCTGGATCACCAAGGCCCGGACCGACTCGCTCGGCATCTCCTGGCCATGAATTTCCGATATGGTGCCAGAGGCCAATGCTGTCCCGTAAAACTCATTGTGAAATAAGGGATCCGACTCTGAAAATTCCTTACTGCTGAAGCTTGACGTTCTGTCGGGTCTTCTGGTCTCTGGCATACACTGATGCCCATTTTCTCCAGATGACAGGTGAGCTGAGGTCAGCTGACACTCTTTCTGCTTTTCTTCAGTGAGGGATCCCATTGTCATCACACAACTGTATCAAAAAATATATCGCACAGTCTTGAGTTTGAATTCAAAATACCAAGAGTTGTTTGTTGCAAACGAATCATGTAAATGTACTTGATATAATGATTCTTAGATCGTGTGTATAGATGAATTTTAGATCAAATTAGTATAGATGATTTGAGTGAGTTTGATGATAAAGTTGCTTGACATCTCACCTGAAAAACATGAAACACTTCAGCAAAGAATCAAGAATAACAATACAAAAATTATCCACATCAAACCAGGGTTATTTTAGTTAAACTAAAACACCTTTAGTTTAATTGTATATACTAAAATAACTAAAACTGAAATTAAAACTATGTAGACATATTTAAAAAAGCATTAAAACGACAGAAACAACAACAAAATGACTAAAACTTGATTAATCAATTATCATTTTGACTTATATCTAATATATATCTATATCTATATAAATTCAAATATATGTGACAATATAAAAGTAAATGTTGGACTAAAACATCGTGACATTTTACGTGCTTTTATTATGAAATTCGTCCAGTAGCGTAACCGGACGTTCGCTTTGCTGTGCGGATCATGTGACTACAAGCACAGCAGCCCCACCCCTTGCTGTGCAGTAAACCCCAAACAGACTGACCGAATGGCAGCTGTCTGAAAAGCTCAGTCTGTGTCGCTTTTATCAGGATGGCTGTGGATTCGTTATCTCCTGATTGGGAGTTTGACCGCTTTGATGATGGGTCACAAAGTAAGTAACGCGTCTGATCGGAATACTGTTGGTAATTTGTTTTTGTTTAAGTGTAAAAGATGTGTAAATCCTGCAGCTAACGTTAGCTGAGTAATGTTAGCTAGCTGTCAGATGACCAGGGAAAGTGGCCAAGTTCAAGCACCCTGGTTAGATTAGATTAGTGTGTGTGGTCTTTATTGATTTCACACAAAAAAAAAGTGATAAGGAAGTCTTTCACTTTCATTTGAAAGAGGTTCGACATCATTGCAGTGGAGGATTGGATTTCTTTTAATGAAAAAATAGATGATCAATTTAATTGACCAGTGAATTCAATGCTCAGTCCTTTTGTCTCTTTATAGTATTAAATGTTGATATTGATGCCATAGATTCACATGCCATGCATATAGCATAAAAATGATTAATTAAAAAATAGTTATTATTATTGATAAAAATTCAAATGAAATTATATTAAAAATATCTACAATTTTCTGTCACACAAATAAGAAAGGAAGTCATTTGGAGCTTTTATTTCTGGTTTTGTGACTGTTGATCGGTTGTATGTGTGCAGAAATTCACACAGAAGTGCAGGTTAAAAACTATGAGAAGTTCTTAGAAGAATACACGGCTCAGCTCCAGGGTATTGAAGAAGCGTTGGACGACTCTATTGGAGATGTTTGGGACTTCACTCTGGACCCCATTGCTTTGAAGGTGTTGTGTCATGTATTACAGCTTCTTAACTGTTTAATTTTCAGTTAATTGCGTTTATGTCATATCACTCTGCTTGCTCTGGCACACCAGCTCCTGCCGTATGAACAGTCCTCGCTGTTGGAGCTCATCAAGACAGATAACAAGGTATGAAATGTCTGCACATCTTTGGTCATGCTGCAGTTTACATGTGATGCAGATGCTGAATGGAAATTAGTGTATTATGAGTTTACCTGTTGCTTTTTTCTCTCTCTTTCTTCACCAGGTGCTTAATAAAGTCATCACAGTGTATGCAGCTCTTTGCTGTGAAGTTAAAAAGCTGAAATATGAGGTAAGTGAAAATGTATGACATGTATAATATTCCGTAAGATTTCTGTTTCAAATAAATACTGTTCTGTTGAACTTTCTGTTTGTAAAGGAACCCTGAAAAAAAATGTATCCCGGTTTACACAAAAATATTAAGCAGCACAACTATTTTCAATATCAATAATAATAATTATAAGAAGGATCATGTGACACTGAAGACTGGAGTAATGATGCTGAAAATTCAGCTTTGCATCACAGGAATAAATGACATTTTTAAATATATCCTCCTGACTACCAGCTATGGAGTTTTGTCCTCTGTAGAGGACATTATGTTTTAGTGATTTCTCTGAGACGTTACATGTCACAGTTTTAATGTCATTTAAAATGTTATTTTTCAAATTCTTTCTTATGCTCTAAACAATGTAATGACATGACAAAATACTAAATTCACAAAACTGTTTTTTCCTGGTAGTCAGGAGGATATGAAAGTAGGAAAAAGTTATTTTAAATTGTAATAATATTTCACAATATTGCTGGTTTTTCCATTATTTTAGATCAAATAAATGCAACCTTGGTGTGCAAGTCTCACCAAGATTATTTCAAAAACATTAAAAAAAAATCTTACTAACCCCAAACCTTTGAGTGGATGTTTATAAAGTCAATTTCAGCTCAATTGTTAATGGTCTCATATTAACCGTTTTGTGCTTTCTACGTTTAGGCTGAAACCAAGTTCTACAATGGCTTGTTGTATTATGGTGAAGGAGGTAAGAACTACTGCTTTGGTTTTTGCTGTTCATTTTACAGCTCGTCTGCATGAGAATCTTTTAAATCCAACAAGATTCCCATTTTAGTTCAATAATTGTATATCTGAGTGGATTTTAAATGCCAATTGATTTTATCTATCCGGAATAGAATGTTATTGTTTGTTTTGTTTTTTTTGTTTGGAATAGCGTGCACCTATATTGTAGTTTTGTTCGTATTAAAATTTCGTCATTCAACTTTCATTTAATTTAACCTGTACCTATTAACAATAATAATTTTGTAAAATATTTTTCCAGTGTCAGACACTAGTATGGTGGAGGGAGAGTCTCAGATTCAGATGGGCCGCTTCATTTCCTTCTTACAGGTTTGACATCATGATCTTTTTGAATTATTACTGATAATATAAAAAAAAAAGATTACTGAACATTGTTTTCTTTGGGTGTATGTTACAGGAGCTGTCTTGCTTTGTGTCGCGCTGCTTTGAGGTGGTGGTCAACATGGTTCACCAGCTGGCTGCTTTGTACAACAGCAACAAGTGAGACATTTAAAATATTCTCATATTATGTTATGTTATGTGAATGCAGTGTTGCTGATTTTTTTTATTGCTTTTTTTATATCAGGAGTGCAACAAAAATCATTGAGTCCACAGGTGTACACTTTCAGGTAATTGCCATTTTCTCTGTCCTCTTCATGTGATTCTTCACTGCAACCTGACGTCTTGTATTGTTGGTTTCTATTTGTCTGCAATCAGACAGTGTACGAGCATCTGGGAGAACTTCTGGTGGTCCTCATCACCCTGGATGAGATCATGGAGAACCACGCCACACTGAAAGATCACTGGAAGATGTACAAAAGGTGGAGGGGGACCTTTTAGATGTTGAACCAATCTACAGTGTACAATCTACAATATACAGAGATGTGTTCGTATGAAATCATGATTCTTGATGAAAAGATTTTCTCATCACAGATTTTGTGTTGTTCTTTGAAGGTTACTGAAATCTGTCCATCATAACCCAGCTAAGTTTGCCATTCCAGAGGAGAAACTAAAACCCTTTGAGAAGCTCTTATTGAAGCTGGAGGGGCAACTGTTGGACAGCATGATTTTTCAGGTCGGCACCGTTCACAAAATTCCTCATTTATTTATTTATTTTTCTATTTATGCTCTGAGAAACATCAAAAACATTCAATCAAAATTGTAGGAAGACAGGAAACATTTAAGGACGTTCATCATAATTATAGTTACAGAAATGTTATTATATTATTAACAGGAACTGTGTACAGTAATATAATAATTTATTTAATGTATATTAAAAGCAATTGTATAATATTACATGTATGTATTATATAACTTCTGTTAATATTCATGAAAAAAGTTATTGTACTTACAGTATATTATTGTGCACAGTTCCTCAGTGCACATTATTGTAAAAAGAAAATGTGTTTATATTTCACCATTTTTATATATGTATACAATGTATACATAGTAATATTAAATATTTAATATTTTTAATGATAAAAATCAATAATATTAAAAATACATGATTAGACTATTACATATATATTTATTGTATATGTAGACATCTGTTGTGTGTATTAAAAATGTTAAGACAAGTTAAAACGTGTTGATATTATTATGCACAATTCTTCAGTGTGTATTATTGTTAAGAGAAATTTTTTTGTTTTCATAATATTTCACCATAGTACTGTATATATTTTATCTGCAGCGTAACCAATTTTTTTCTACTGAATTACTGGTCACTGAAATATGTCACTTTACAGAAATTAAGTACATTTAAATAAAGTTATTAATTTAAAATAAGTTAAAAGTTTAAATAAATGTAAGTATTGGCTGTTGGCTGATCTTTTTTTTTTTTGTGCTCATTTTCATGCAGGCTTGTGTGGATCAAAGGTTTGATGACCCAGGAGGAGATGTATCAGTTTCTAAAAACAGTGCCTTTGCAGAGGAGTTTGCGTACAATATCAGAACCATTTTTGCCAATGTTGAATCAAAGCTTGGTTTGTATTTATAATTAACCTAAATTAATTCTAAATGCCATTAATGAAACATCTCAGCTGTAGACAACAACCGATATGATCCATTTGACTTGCAGGAGAGCCATCAGAGATTGATCAGAGAGATAAATATACAGGCGTATGTGGCCTCTTTGTGCTGCACTTCCATATCTTCAGGACTGTGGACAAGAAGATCTACAAATCCCTGCTGGATGCGTGTAAAAAGGTGAGAACACTAACTCGTGAGAATGAGTGGGATATATAGATCTACTCTTTCAGTCATTATGAAGGCTGTTTCCCTTCTCTCTCCTCCAGGTCCCTGCAGTGACATTAGCAGCTAATATAATCTGGTTTCCAGACACATTTCTGATAAACAAAGTCCCCGCGGCAGCTAAACTGGTGGACAAGAAGAGCATCCAGAGCATCCGCAGCAGCAGAGATGCATACCTGCAGCAAAAGGCGCAGACGCTAATGAAGTAAGACACACGCTTCTGATATGATTCATAAA